CCCCGGGGGGGTGGGAGGCTCTAGGGGGAGGGTGTCACCCGAGCAGCCCCGGGCCGCTGCGGGGGAAGGCGTCCTGGGCTCGTCGCTCCGGTTGGCAGGGGCTCCCCGTGTCCCTGGATGTCCCCTTGCCGCAGACCTTGCCATCAGAGAGCGTCACCTTCAGCCAGGCCAGCCTTGGAGAGCTCCAAGGATGTCCTGCCGGACAGGCCGTGCGCGGCTTCGTCACCTCGCTGCCGGGCTCGTGGTGGGGCCAGAGCGGCCTTTGGGCGATGCGGTGCTGCATCGGCTTTGGGGTGACGCCCGGCGCTCCCCAGCGCTGCTGCCTGTGCGGCTATCTCCCCGCTGCAGGCACCCAAATTCAATGCCTGGCACTGGAGCTGAATCCCAGCCCTCACCCATTCCCTAACGGAGCAGAGATTTGCCTGCGTGGCCTTGTTGCAGGATGAGGCCTTGGCAATGATGTGTCCGAGGCAGAGATGTTATTAGTTCGGCACCAGCAGACCCAATTGCCTTGGGTGCTAGTAAATGGCAAAACCGAGTAGCACGTGGTAAGAACTAAAAGGGGTTTAGTTGTGGTAAGAAGTAAAAGAGGTTTAGTTTAGTTGGGCTTTTATTTTTTAAAAGCAGGATGTTTGAAGAGCAACGCTGGGACCGTTCTCTCCTGAGAAGTGGTGGTGAGCCACAGCGCTTTGCTGGTTTCTCGATTTTATCCACGAGGATCTGTTACTTTGCGTAGCTCATGCTGCGAGGCCAGCGAGACTCCCTCCTAGCTTTTTGCTCCCTCCTAGCTTTTTGCTCCCTTGTAGGATCCATCAGAAAAATTTCTGGACCTACCTTGTGGGGGCTTCAGCTGAAAGCTTTTAGGCCTGGTGTCTTCAGTGTCTTTTTCCCCACTTTGCTATAGATAAAACCAGATGTTGCAGTAGGTGATAGACACTACAAGAGGCTGGATATGGTTAATACCTGCCTCCACTAGCTTCTCACTAGCTTGGCGTGTGTGACCAGTCACGCTGTGGGTGTTGGCTGTTTGGCATATGTAGTTGGTGAACTCCAGGGACGGATCCCGAGACCCCCTGAGTTACAGGGGCCGTGCGTGTCCTCACTAGTGCAGTGTTACAGGGTGCTGCAGTTGGGACTTGTCATATTTTTCTCTGGCTTTCTCTCCTACTCCACAAGAAAAGGAGAGGAAAGGAGCCAGAGAAGGTGTTAAGCCACAGAAATCAGAAGAAGTGGGCTTAGGTGGGTGTGATGTCTCTGAAGCTGGTGGCCTTTGCTTTTATAGCTGGCGGCGTTTCGAGCTGACACCGCTGCGTGCAGTCAGCTCCGGGGAGCTTCTCCCTCCAGAGCCCCATCAACTCGCCTTCAGCTTGGCGTGCAACTCTTCCACCTTCCTTTGCAGGCTCGCTGGGAGACATCTCCAAATCCTTTGTCGATCTCACTGACCCCGATGAAGTCAACAGCTATTTTGCCTTCAACGTCACCTCGGCGCTTTGTCTCACCTCCACCGCCCTGAAAGCCTTCGGGAAGCGCCCCGGCGTCAGCAGGACGGTCGTGAACATCTCTTCGCTCTGCGCCGTGAAGCCCTTCAAGAACTGGGCGCTGTACTGCAGCGGGAAGGCCTCCCGGGACATGATGTTCCAGGTCCTGGCACTCGAGGAGCCCGACGTCCGCGTGCTCAACTACGCGCCGGGTGAGGAGGGGGTCCGCTCTGCCGGGGGCGCTCGGAGCTGCAGGCAGCGTGCCCGGCGCGGGCATGGCTGGTGCATTGCTGCCGCCACCTTCCCTCCGCTGGGAGAGGCTGGCCAGGCCCCGAGAAGTGGTGCAGTGGAGGAGATGTAGGAGGGCTGGCTGTTTTACTTTTTATCTTGCCTCCTTCATGCCTGGGGTGCACTACAAGCTGGGTGTGAACTGCTGTTGGCCTGCAGATAGTGGAGCTGTGTTGGGCATTAATTGTGATTAGTTTTCCCCTGACTCTGTGGCTAAAAGAGAAGATGTTCTTGCAGCCAGCCCAGGCGCAGAAGGAAAGCGAGTGCCAGATTTGGCTTTCGGCGGATGTGATTTCTTTTATTGCTTTTTCCCCAGGTCCTTTGGACACGGACATGCAGCTCTTGGCCCGGACCAAAACCGGGGACCCTGAGATGCGTCAGTATTTCCAGGGCCTTCAGGAGAGCGGGCAGCTGATAGACTGCGCCGTGTCGGCCCAGAAGCTGGTGAAGCTCCTGGAAGAGGACACCTTCTGCTCCGGCGCCCACGTGGATTTCTACGACGTCTGAGCTGCCGGCCCTTCGACTCTCGCCTTCGGGCTTTGCTTTCCGCTTCTGTCTGCTGAGCTGCGTCTCTGGTGCCTCCTGTCTCTGCAGCGTGCTCGCCGCCCGGGCTCGAGCGCTGGGGTGCTGCGCAGCTTTTCGGAGCAGCTCTCGGGGCGCCTTAGCAGTTCTTGTAGTGCCCCAGGGCGGACGGGGGAAATCATTGCTTCACTGTGCCGTCAGTGCTGAGCTAGAGCCCGGGTTACGCGTCCTCGGGCCCCGGGGAGGGCTTGCGATTCCCACCCGAGGACCTTGCGGCGTAGGTCTTGTCCTACCTGACCACGCCACTGGGTTCGCTGAGCCCTGACCCGCAGCAGCCTGCCGGAGCAGGGATTTCACAGCCGTTGGAGACGGGAGGGCAGAGGGGGTGCCAACAGCTTACCCGACCTCTCCTGCTGCTGCTCGAGGAATTGTCCCTGGGCGAGAGTTGTGCTTTAAGATGTGGGGATAAAAAAAAACCCTTTCCCCACCCTAGAAATGCACACTCTAGAAATGCCCAGCGTCCCCTTCCCGGCAGCAACATCCCCGCAGTCCTCTTCTGTCTCAGCCCCTTGCTTCAGATTTTTGTCTACCCTGATCTACTGTCATTAAATATGTCATGCGTGGTCTGGGCTGTCTGCTGTGAGCGCCCTGCCGGTGCCCCTTCCTTCCGGCTCCGAGTGATTTCGTTAACTCTGCACCTACTTGGTGGGAAAGATGAGGTGTTCAGGCGTTTCAGAGGTAGTTTTGGTGTGACTGGGTCTCCTCGTTCAAGTTAAGCTCCCGGGATGGGGATCGCTCGGTGTTGCTGCTCTCCTGCCTGGGCTTCAGTGCATCCCCAGCCTCACCTGCATCTTCCAGAAAGCTAAAAATCCCGTGTCTCCTAAGCCTGCGTCCGCATGGGCCCTGGCAATGCAGCTCTCGGCTCTGCGGCAGAGATCAAACCCTTTGGCAAATAAATAGCACCGATGCTCAGAGGTAGGCGTCCTGAATCCTGCTCTTGCAGGCTCTCAGGCCGCATTGGGGCCAGGCAATGGGACCCCCCTCCGGGCAAGCTCGAGGAGCCCTAAATTGCAGGAGGAGCTCTGAGGGTGACAGGGGACAAGACTGACCGGGGCACAGGGACCTCCTGCTACCAGCCAAGCGATAACCGGCGCAGGAAATGCAGCTGCACCTTCTTGCCCTTTTTTCCAACCATTTCAGTCACGCCAGGTCAGCGCTGACATCTAGGGACTTTCAGGTCTGACTTTGTCCAAGTTGCGCAAGCCAGAACCTGCAGGTAGCTTTGCAGCCGTCTCTTTGGAGGGAATCGGCCCTGCTATGCCACGGGAGACCGGCACTGCGAAGCTGTTTTAGGGGCCTGGAAGTAGAGACTGGAGCATAAAAGACACTGGAGACGTGGACAGGCTGAGCAGTTCGGTGATTGGAGACGAGCCTCCGAGAAACGCTCTGTGTCCTGGGAAATATGTGACTGAGCTCATCCACGACCAGCACCAACAGCGCTGCCAGCCTGGGAGGTGAAGCACGGGCTTTGGAAACGCATGAGATGTAAATCCTTAGATCGCTAAAAGGAGACTGATTTGAGCATCTTTTTTTCTTTGCCTCCTCGCCTTTGAGCTGGTAAATAGGGGGAAGTTTGATGATTCAAACTTTTCTGTGCCATCACGAGAAGCAAAACCGTGCCAGTTTTTTAAATGTGAGCTAAATCATCTGCTTCGTTTCAAGCCTTCTCCATTTGGGGTGACATCCACCGTTCTGGGATGAGTGCGGAAATTGCAAGGGAAAGGGCTATGGTCTGCCGCAGATTCCCAGCAAGGAGGGGTGGAGAGGACACCGGGGCTGCCCTCTCTCCAGGGCAGGAGCAGCTACTGATCACACTAACGTGCTCACCATCCGACCTGGACACACGTGACACTGCGACCGGAGGTCCTTTGCCTTTCAGGATTTGTCCTCGAGTCGTTTGGCCCCGCTGCTTCCTCTGCCCACTCGGGCTGCCCTTCACTTGCTGTGCCTGCACGTATGAGGGCATATTTGACCGTTGTGTATCACCATTTTACAAATTCCTCTGGAAACACCTCGGTCCATGTGCTCCCTCTCAGCCAAGCAGACCAGCTCTTCTTTGTAGTTTGTGGCTCTCCGTCTGGTGTGACCAACGTTGTTGGTGGCACCAATGTTGTTGGTAACTCCATGGTTTCTTCCAGGTCAGGGATACGCATGTTGGAGGGTGGAAGACCAAAACCTCTTCCTGTAGGACCTTGCCATGGGACACTGGCTCAGCGCTGATTCCCTGCCTGGTCATATTTTGCGACCTGGCAGAGAGCTGGTTTCTAGTTCATTTAAAGGTGTGTTGTGTTGATTTTGGTCCTTAATGAGACCGTCATGTTGGCCCAGCCTCAGCATGGGCACAAGATCTTACAGAGTTCAACGGCCGGAGTGGTCGTGTGATTTTTAAAGACACTGAGCTAATTTAGCAGCGTGGGCTTGCTCCAAACCCCTGATGAGAGACCCTGGTGTCTCTGAGGTTTGCTGACCTCTAACTCCCTTTTTGCTGAGTTATTTGTCACCGTGATTTAGCCTAGGGCCACTGGCAGGCTGAAAGACCCCTTACTGCCCACGTGGTCCTATCAGCTCTCCCAAACCCTAGCTCACCATTAATTTTCTTCTGGTGCCACTGATGCAGTGGCAGCACGAGGGCAGGAGGACCAAAAGTTAGAGCCTCAACGTCACTATCCGTTCAACAAGGAGACTGCAGCCTTTGCTTGAAGAGAAAACGTACTGCTAGCATCTACGCTTCAAGAGCAAGCCCGTAAATCAGCATGAATCTTACGGCCGTGGTGATGTGCTATGGCTCATACTGCTAAATTTTGCTGGTGAATCAACCATGTGCTAGAAGTTAAATGGAGTAAGTTTGTCTTCAGCTCAGCCACTTCGTCATTTGACTTTGCTCCAAGCTGTCGCCTGCGTAAGTTATTTTCATAGTTTTCTTCCATTTGGACTCACTGTGCATGTGATTAGGTGTTCAGCACGGCTCTGTAACCTCCAGGGATGCACCACGCTTGTCACTCGAAGCCGGGGTGCAAGGCGCTTCCAAGGGAGAAATGCTATTCTCCGGGCAAAAAAAAAACCCCACGTGCCTGGTGGGTCTGCCTCAAACCGTCTTGGCAGCGTGTGGTAGCTATTTTTTGCTTTGCCTTTTGTTTTCCCCAGAAATCAGAGCTGTTATCTAGCAGATCCGTGCCAGACTTTTTTCCCCAGTCTTTCTGCTCTCAGAAGTTTTCTGGTGCTTCAGTGGGCTACAGCATTCACCTCCGTGAATCGTTGAGCAGCCTCGGTTTTGCCACCGCAAAATTTGCCAGCTCCACCCCGTCAGTGGGTGAGCACACTGCAGCACAGCCCCCTCTGCCTCCACACCGGGGTGAGGAGAGCCGTGGTGCTCAGGTGCTATTGGTTGAACATAGGGCTGCTGTTGGAAGAGGAGAGCCAGGCTGGCATGAAGATGTGCAGTTGACTGTAGAACGGTAGGGTAGGAAGTCGCTCAAGGAGGACGTAGATGTCTGATGGGTTCTGCACTGATGGCCTGTGACAGAGAGAGACAGGATGGCTAAGCAGCCCAGCATGCTCTTGGTAGTGAATGGAAATGGGCTACCTCTTCCTCTGGGCTGCTCCAAGGAGTGCATGGAAGAAGGCCAGGAGGGCTGCAGGTGGCAAAGGAGTGAGAAGATCGGGAAGGGAGAGGAGGGACACATCAAGGAGGAGAACAGAAACAAGGAGATGCATGCAGCAAAAAAGGGAACCTTTGCTTCATGTAGCCCCAGGGCAGAAAAGAGGTTTTGAGAAGGTCCCTACATGGGGTGACCCAGCATTGCTCTCCCCCTCAGCCGGAGGGGAGGTGCCTAGGCTCAGCAATGCCCACCTCAGGTCTTGTGAGGGGTTTTCTTCCTTTGGTAAGTTTAAGACCCTTCTGAGCTTGGGCCATGTGTTTCACAGAATCACAGAGGTTTCCTCTGTGGTCACCTTCTCCACTGCATGGTATGTGCCTCTCCAGTGAAGATGAAGTTAGGGATGTCCCAAATCATCAGCTACTGGCCACCACACTGCCTGTCACTCAGGCCTTCTTCGGTGGCACCCCATCCTCTGCTCTTCCCAAGCACGTAGGCTGCTTCCAGCCCTGCATTGAGGCCACGTCCTGGCCGGCTTTCTGCATTTCAGGGTTTAACACCAGACCTGAGGAGGGAATGAGCTCTGACCTGCCTCTGCGTGACTGTCCTAACTTTGGGCGTGCAAGGCTCCCTGGCTAGAGGGACACCTCACCATGTCTCGTGGTCTCTGAGGGACACGCATCCGTGCCTGGGATCACGCAGAGGTGCGATGGGAACGTGGGCTTTGCCGGCCCCCTGGGCTGAAGCTGGGGCTCGCTGGGCCTGTCTTCTGGCGATGAGCCTGGTAGGAGCCAGAGCTCCGCAGAGGGCGGCCTGAGGCCGGGCAAAAGCCAGACGGGGCGGCGTGAGGAACCCCCCGCGTTCGTTTGCTTCCCTGGGGAGTCCTTGCCGGTGGGATGCTCCGGGCTGGTGGAAGAAGGAAACCTTCCAAGGGCGTTTCAACGCCGCCGCCAGAGCTGCCGTCAGGTGCGAGCGACACCGACGGCATCGCCGCCGCGGC